ATACATAATTGAAAAATGAAGGAGATCTTGTGTTGGTTAGGTTACTGATTAGTTATTTTGCTTGCCGAATAACTTACTTAACGGTTATATGGTTAACCGATAAAATAACCGACAAAAGACTATACAATTACAACTAACCAACTAATATAAACGATGTGGTTGACGATATACACAAAGTTCTCGCAATTAATCAATAATTAACTAAACGGATACGATTACAACCAAACCGAACCAACTAACAATCCAGTATTCAATATGACAATTCCCAAGTACCCGTCGTTACGAGGATGATTGTCGTCCATATAGGACCAACAATATTACAACTGATCTATGGACTATGGCCTAGGCCTCTAAGGATAGGTTGCCATTCTCTGGAAAATGCTAACCCCGCAGAATCCTCCTCGAATCTTATGCATCGAACCCAAATGCGGGTCAACAAAACTAGGGGTGTTCAAACGGTGTGGTTACCATGGTAACCGTTTTAACCAGTATTATTTGGATAATTTGGTTTGGTTAATTTGGATAATTGGTTTGGTTTGGTTAAAGTTTTTACCTTGTTTGGTTTAGGTGGTTTGGTTTGGTTTCAGACACTCCTAACCAGCCAAACCAAATGAACCAGATAAATAATTGGTCATATATCTAATATATACACATACTTAATACTTTGAATAACCACTCAAGAGTTAAACTTTCATTCTTTTAGACTCATAAAATATAAAGCATGATATTGTTCCTATAATGTATATTTGTATATGTAGAGTGTATACCACAACATATGAACGCCTAATTTAGATAAATCTCATACATTATGTTGGATGAAAATTTGAAAGCAAGGTCCTCTTCAGCCTCTGAAAATTGCTAAAAGACTAAATCAATTCAAACAAACACAACAATTCATTAACCCATACCATTGTGATAAATTTTTGTTAGGTGAATACTTCTATACTAACCGTAAGATAATTGTCTTAGTTGCATGTATTTATGTTAAGGGTCAACTATAACTATGTGTTGATTATTATGTTTTTCCCCCCGCAAAATCAGTGTTGAAAAGATAGTCACAAGGAGGAAGAAAGAAAAACGCGGGAGTCGACCAATAGTCGAACTCCCAATGAGAGGGCCTTTTGTGCCACATGATGGGCAGCCCTATTTAGTAGACGAAAAACAAAGCAGTAAGAAATCCGACTGAAGTGAGAAGCTAAGCTCCGGGTATCCTCGAATAGAGCTCCACCCCGATCATGCGCCAAGTCGCCTCCCACCATCCCGTCGTATCAACTGACGATTGGAAACCCACAAAGCCAATACAACCTTCGTGACTATGCTTGACCGCACCATCAAACTAAACATTAATAGTGTTCAAGGGGTTCCTTCAACATCAGGGGCGTCATTTCCAAGTGCTCCATCAAATCTCATCAAAAGGCCACCTATTGGACAAGACAACCGCCACCGATCGACTATTGTGCAATTGAATCTTCACCTGCAAAATGAGCAAACAAAGGTCCTTACTAGGACAATCCAGGCCAAAGAGCCAACAAGTCAACATAGACACAAGGCAACAATTCGCCCTTGAAATAGAGTACCAGGTCATCGGGAAACCATAGATAACCGGCACCACCCGATACACACCTAAACTTTTTTTTTTAATTTTTAATCAAAGGTACTACCTAAATTTCGGGGACCTAACAATTTGCAAGTATATAATTTTAAAAAGAAGGCAATAGATACATACGAGAAAAATGAAAAAAGTTGGAAAGAATAATTAAAAAAGTTGATTGTTATGTTTTATTCATTATATAAATTGTGAATTGATAAATTAACCGAAAATTTTCTCACTTAATGATAATATGATTTTATATTGGTTAATCTGGTTAACTAATTAACCAAACCGATTAAACTTTAGTTTAGTTAATTTGGTTGTTGTATTAGTTTGGACGGTTCGGTTATGATATTGTATTTCATGGTTAATGAAATTTAGCCTTATTTAATTTGGTAATAACCATGGTAACCATTTAAACACTCTAAACAAAACATCATTTGTCAGTAATTTATTTCCTAATAGTGGCTAAGGAATTCAAACACGAAGGAACCGAGACAAACTCATATTGCTTTGCTCTATTTTTATAATTAGGTATTACTCAAGTGATTTGAACCTAAAATCTGCCGGTTCAAGATAAGTGGTAATACGACTAAGCCCAAACCAAATTTACCAACCACAAATCTCAGTGGCTTACCAACTAACATTATGGTCTTCCATTGTTCTTGTGTACGTACATGTCCTCCTTGCTTAACTAATCCATTATAGTTGGATGAAAATCGAGCCATTTGCTTCGAAATAGCCAAAGCTTAGAGTAGTACTATAAGCATTGTTGTAAGAACTGAACCGGATCAACGGCCGAGCTAGTAGAACCATCAAACCAGTTACGATAGCGGTTCGGTTCATTGCGTGGACGGTTATTGATGGACGAAACGGTTTTTGACGGTTCAACATAAAACCATATGAACCATCACGGTTTAACTGGTCCACTAGTTCACTATTTTAATACAAAAATTAAAAATACTTTAGCATAAACTAAGACTATCAACCATAATTATTAACTTTATATGTAATATACAAGTCTTATATGTTATATATCATAAACGATTCTATCAACGGTTCACCAACGATTTTGTAACGGTTAACCACTGAATCCTAAACCACTAAATTTTTCGGTTCATCCTCTAGTCCGGTTCTTAAAACAAAGGCTATAAGTCTAAATAAGCATACTCTCTAGACAAGTGTATATTTGTTACTCTATTGTATTCCAGCAAAGCAAACTCAATTATTGTACAAGAAGGGTGGTGGGCTGAGAATAAGCAAATAAGACTTCCTATAATCGACCAAGTGACACAATGGACCATAAGTGGCCAATGTTTCCATTATTAAATAAGAGCTTTTCGATAAATATAAAAGGAAATATCAATCATGGTAGGGTATTTGCCCACAATAGGGTCCTCTACATATTGATAATGACTCCCCAAATAATTCTAAGGAATCCAATATATATGCATATATACATGTCATAATAACTATATTAGACAAACATAAATAAATTCTTATCATCAATTTAAAATTTGGTGGGGCATTAATGAGTAGGTTGAAATTACCTAATTAATCAACTTATTGATCTCCAAAGCTTTTCTTAAAAAGCATATCTACCCAAAGGTTTTTCTTTGTTTTCTTCAGTGGAACATCAAGTTGGAAAAAGGATAATTAGGTGGGAGCAAAGACGATTTAAGCTTGAGTTGGGAGAGAATGACAAAATTAGTGCATAAACTTGCACAATTAACAACTAATAAATTGGGCATATTACCCTACCATGATAGCAAAGCAACAATGTCTACCCTGAAAAAAAAAAAACAGAGTTCAAAGAAGATCTCAATTGTCTAATTAAACAGTAACTTTGTAACATATAAGACAAATCGCACATCCCAAAAATATGGGAAAGATTCATAATTTATGAGCAGTAATTCAACTTTAACTAACAAAATGCATCCTGCAGTGAATGAGAGTTCTTATTAGAACTCTGAAGTCAAACGTGCTCCATGTGAAGCAACGTAAAGATGGGTGACCTCTTGGCAAGTCACCATGATACGCCCCAAAAGCACAACTGCGCGGGGTAGGCGTAAAACATACAATATCTTGATCATAAAAAGGTTGAGATGTTATAAGTGATATCAGACCCTTTCTGTGGTGTCCCTTTAGGACGATGGTGGGGCAAATCTCAAAGAGGATATTGAGTCTGAAAAGGCGGTTTATGTAACACTTTAGGAAAAACTCACATCAACAAAATACAGAAGAGATCCATAATTCATAAGGAACAATCTAATCTTAACTGACAAGACTTGTTTTTGTGTGAAATAGAGTTTTTATGAGAATTCTGAAGTTCAACATGTATAGTGCGAAACAACGTAGAGATGAGTGATCTCTCGAGAAATCCCATAAAGCAAAATCTTGAGAGGTAAGTCAAAATAAGACAAAATCTTGGTTTGGGTGTTACATAAGCTCTTTATATTTCTCGTTTATATAATTCTAGTCCTCAGGAATTAGCTGTCTTAGATTTGATTGACTAATTTACTCCAACTCACCCACTGTTTGTATTTTCCAATTTTTATTTAAAAAACATGCTCCAGTTTCAGACCTTTTGTATAATAGAAATTTTTTGCAATATATATATTGATCAACTGGTCCATTTAATATCATGCCATTATCCCGTCAGGCAGGCCCCCAGATGCACCCAAGTGTTTTCTCTTTTTGGATCTCTGGAGAACAGCTGGTATACATGTGAGATATATTCAACACTGAAAGCTACATTACTCAAATTAACCAAATAAATACTTGAAAGAAAATAAATTGTATCCATTCAAGCTTAATTCATTGTGTGCATTTAAGAACAATCTAGGAGCTGAAACTATTGGTAGACCTCATCAAGTGACGGGGGATCTTATACCGTTATAAATTGATTCAGAAGGTACCTTTCAAAATGATAATTCTACGAACACACTCTTCGAATTAATATTCATTCGATACATCCCACGTATCTAGCTTATGTACACTTGTTGGCTAGATGTTCTATTGATCTTTGTTACGAGAATAATTTTACAGCAGATTATCCAAAAGGCCAAAAATTGATAGATGGGTTGTTGCTAGCTAGGTGCTTACTGGTTACTGTTCCCTTACTCCAAGCATCCACCGCCTCTCCAACAACTACTGCTCTGCGAAACTGACAAAACAGAGCAGCAAAAACAAAAAGAAATACGAATGTACGTACACCAAGTAAAATAAAAAAAGAAACCGAAACTTCTTTCTCAAAGTTTTGGAATTATGTAATAACCAATATTCCAAAATAAAAATAAAATCGATCATATCTCGTGAGAAAACATCAAAAAATGGAAAGTAAGGATTATAATTAATTTATTATTCGTTATCGCTTTCGAAAATGGTGCTACATTACAAAAGGCTGAAAGGGAGAGAGAAAGGGAAATATAGACAGAGGAAGAAGTAGGAGAAGGCGGAGGAGAAAGAAAACAGAGCACAATCCAACAGTGCGGTAGATCTGCTCTGCCGCCCGCCCGCCCCCTTCTCTTCCCATTTCCCCCGTCTTCCCCATTCCTCCTTAACTTTCCTATTTGGTGACTCAACTGGGTTTTGTCGACTCTCACAAATTTTTATTAACCAAAAACATCCATTTCTTGACCGTTTCCACTCCACCAGCACAGGGACTGTTTCCACTCTGTTTCGCATTTCGAGCGGAGAGAGTTTTGGGTCCGTTATCTTTACACTCGTTCGGCATTTGGGAATGGTAAATTTATCGGCGAAATGGTGATTGAGTTGGCGGTGGAGCTCCGGTGACTGTCGGCCACTGGGCTTCACCGACGGTGGAGGGGTTTAGAGGGTAAAAAAACACAATGTTCCGGCCAGTGAGGTGGCGGAGTGACAAGAACAAGATCAAAGTGGTCTTCAAGTTTCAGTTCCATGCAGCTCAGGTTTGCTTCCTTCTTTTCCTCCTCGCTTTGAAGGCCAAGTTTTTAGCTTTTCTGGGTTTCTGATCATGGGTGGTAGTGGGTTTTAATGGGTGTTTTCCACTCTCGTTTGTCCTTTTTGGTTGCTGGGAGAGCAGAATGCTGGTGAATTTTCCAGCACTTCAATAATTTGTCAATTTTTTGAAATGCCTAGTATATGGGTTGATACATAGAGCTCATTCACTATAAGTAAAAAAACTCGACTTTGCTCTATTTTCAAATTTGGCTGAGAGGGAACAGTTGCAGTACAAGTTGAAGAGGAATGACAACTGTTTGATCTATGGAATTTTCAGGTGTCACAGCCGAATGTGGACTCGTTAGTGGTCTCTGTGGTACCCGGGGATGTCGGGAAGCCCACTGGAAGATCAGAGAAGGCTGCAATCAAGGATGGAAGCTGCGAGTGGGATTATCCGGTTTATGAAACTGTCAAGTTCAGTCGTGATTCCAAAACGGGGAAGATCAATGAGAGGACTTATTACTTCATTGTGTCAACGGTAAGGAATCTTGAGCTAAACAAGAACCGTCTTGATACCAGACAGTCATTGTTGGTTTCTAGTTACTTTCCTATTATAGTTTGCTGACATTTGCATGTTCATTGCAGGGTTCAGCTAAGAGTAGTATAGTTGGTGAAGCTTCAATAGATTTGGCTGCTTATGCAGAGGTAGCAAAAGCTTCTAATGTCACTCTTCCTCTCAAGAACTCAAAGGCTGATGGTGTTCTTCATGTGGGTAGCAACTGTTCTCTTCTGCTCTATCTTTGTTTCTAATTGAAGAATTGGGTTTAACCTCTGCCTTCTGACATTGGTTTTTGGATAGGTTTCGATTCATAAGCTACAGGGAAATATAGATCAAAGGTAAATGAGTGGTGAGATTGTTATATGGACTTCTAAAGTTCTAAACTTTTGGAATTTGCTCGGGTGGTTTTTTTAGATTTTAACCAGGGACTCTGCCTGTTCTTGTGGGGTTTCACAGGGAAGAAGAGGAAACTGAAGCTGCAACCAAAAAGGCGAGAAATAGAACCTTGAATACTCTCTTCGACAATGGTGAGAGTGGCGAAGCCATCAAGAACTTTCCTAATGTGGTAAGTATTAGATTTGGCATCCCTTGACAAAGATGATATGAAATTGGAATGTTGCGTCACATTTACATTTTTTATATTTATTACCTTGGAGATTGTTACCAGCAGATAGGTGTGCATCCTTTGGATTGCAGGACGAATTGAATGCAACAAACAGCAATGCTGAACATAACGGGATCGCCACTGCCACCAGTGGATCTTCTGACCTTACATTATCAAGCTCCGAGACTAGCTCGGAGCTTAACACGCCACGAGAAGCCCCTTCAAGCTTACTAGCATCGAAAACTCAAGCTTCAGCACCTCAGCAGACACAATATGAATGGTCTGTGGATTCTGATCATGGCTTAAGCAATGGGAGCTCGACAAATAGCTCTCATGGAGGAGAAAAGTCTCAACTAGTTTCAGATGGCGAGGTCGAGAAGCTCAAGGTTGAACTTCTCACCATGACCAGACAGCTTGATCTCTCAGAACTCGAACTGCAAACATTACGCAAGCAGATTGTGAAAGAAAGCAGGAGAGGCCATGAACTCTCTCGAGAGCTCGTGGGAGTGCAAGCAGAATGCAAGAAACTGATAGCCTTCCAGAAAGGCATGGAGGAAGCAACAAAAACTAGAAACAAATCGATATCTGAAGGTGATGGTGGTGGTGGGGATCCATGGCTGCTCATTGGGGAGATCAGGCAAGAACTCTATTACGAGAAGGATCTCAACACAAACCTTCAGTTACAACTACAGAAAACTCAAGAATCAAATGCAGAACTGTTACTTGCCGTTAGGGAGCTGGAAGAAATGTTGGAGCAAAAGGGTGCTCAAGCAACTGATGATGAGGAGCAGAAGGAGTTGGAAGAACTTGTCAAGGAACACAGCGGTACGAGGGATACTTATGTACTGGAGCAAAGGATTGTGGATCTCAGTAGCGAGATTGAGATCTACAAGAGAGATAAAGATGAGTTAGAGATGCAAATGGAGCAAATTGCTCTTGATTATGAGATACTGAAGCAGGAGAATCACGAGCTTTCGAATAGGGTGGAGCAAAGCCAGCTGCAGGAGCAGCTGAAGATGCAGTATGAATGTTCACCACAGACTGACCATACATTGGAATCACAGATGGAGAGGCTGGAAGATGAGCTTAAGGAGCAAGGGATCGAGTATTCGATTTCCTTGGCCACTGTAAAAGAACTTCAAAACCATATCAAGAGCATGGAGGGAGAATTGAAGCTGCAACAAAGTGCTTACTCTGGTTCTCTGGTAACCATAGATGAACTTCAAAGCCATGTCAAGAGCATGGAGGAAGAAATGAAGCTGCAAGAGCAAAGTGCAGCTGCCAGCACAAGGGAACTCGAAGATCAAATCGAGAGGTTGGAGAATGAACACTCTTGTTCGTTGGCCACCATAAGTGAACTTCAAAACCAGATCAAGAGCTTGGAGGAAGAAATGAAGCTGCAAGAGCAAAGTACAGCTGCCAGCACAACAGAACTCGAAGATCAAATTGAGAGGTTGGAGAATGAACTATCTAGTTCATTGGCAACCATAAGTGAACTTCAAAACCAGATCAAGAGCTTGGAGGTTGAAATGAAGCTGCAAGAGCAAAGTACAGCTGCCAGCACAATGGAACTCGAAGATCACTTGGAGAAGTTGGAGAATGAACACTCTAGTTCTTTGGGCACCATAAATGAACTTCAAAACCATATCAAGGGCTTGGAGGAAGATATGAAGCTGCTAGAAGAAAATATAGCTTCTAGCACAAAGGAGCTCAAAGCCCAAATCAAGAGTTTGGAGGATGAACGCTCTAGTTCTTTGGCCACCATAGATGAGCTTAAAATCCATATCAAGAGCTTGGAGGAAGAACTAAATCAGCAAGAGAAACTCATGCAGCAGCATGAATCATCAGAACGACTAGAAGCTCAAATCAAGAGGTTGCAGAATGAATTAAAGAAGCAACAGAAGCTGAATTCGGGTTCTTTGGTTACCATAAAGGAACTGGAAGCCCATATCAGTAGGCTGGAGGAAGAATTGGAGACGCGAATTCAAAGCTTTGAAGCTGATATAGCAAACGTGACTCGTGAAAGAGTTGACCAAGAGCAAAGAGCCATTCGAGCAGAGGAAGCCTTAAGGTTGACTCGATGGAAGAACTCTAACACGGCTGAGAAGCTACAAGAGGAGTTCAGAAGGCTGTCTGTGCAAATGGCCTCAACATTTGAGGCCAATGAGAAGGTAGCTATGAAAGCAATGGCTGAAGCTAATGAAGTCCGATTCCAGAAGAGTCAGCTGGAAGACATGCTTCAGAAAGCTAATGCAGAGCTCGAGTCAGTTAAGGATGATTATGATGAGAAATTGGCAGAGCTCTCCAAGCAATTAAGTTTGAGAAATGGTCAGATAGAGAAGTTGTTGATGGAGATTGATGAAAAATCGAAGCATGAAGAACAACTCGGTGGAAGTTTCACTCCGAAAGTTCAGAAACTGCAAGCTGGAATTGAAAAGCTTGTAGAAGAAAATAATCTCCTCTCCATACAAGTGAAGGAAATGAAGTCGTCGATCAAGAATCATGAAGAAGTGGTGCATAAGGGAAACATAGAGAGGAATGGATTCGTGAATACAATCGCTTCACTGAAGAAAGAAGTAGAGAAATCAGCAGAAGACCTAACTACAATGAGATCTCTCGATAATGAAAAGGAGAAGGAACTCAGCCTCCTAAAAGCAGAAGTTGACACGCTAAAATGTAACTGTGATGAGTTGAAGCATTCTCTTCTTGAAGAGGAGCTGGAGAAGGAAAGTCTGAGAAAGCATTTATTCAACCTGAAAGGTGACCTCAAGAAGAAGGATGAAGTTTTGAACAATGCCGAAAAGAAGCTCAAGGAGAGTACCAAACGTGCATCAATTTCCCCTAGAACCAACAAGTCTGCTCCAGTTTCTCATGTCCCCAAGGAAGTCTCGAATCTCAGGGAAAAAATTAAATTGCTTGAGGTAAATTATGTTGTTCCGTCGGTTGATTTTTTTTCCAAGCTTATTGGTTGATCATCATTTATGGAGTTCGAAGCATTGACTGGTTTGTTTCCTGATTTGTCCTAACAGTTGCAGATAAAGTCAAAGGAAACTGCACTAGAGACATTTGCAAGGTCATTTTTGCAGAAGGAAAGAGACCTTATGGACAAGATTGAAGAGTTGGAGAGAAGACATGACGAACTTGACCAGTGCTGTTCAAATTTAACTTGTAGCCCTCATCACAAGGTTAGATCCTCTTGACCCCGTGACTAATGTATAAACAAATCATCGTCGCAATGCTAAATCATATACAGTGAATTTGTACAATGTGTTTCCTTACTGACCAATGTATGCTCAATTTCCAGTTGAATGGTGATGCAACTGATGAATCTCTCAACAATGTAGCCTCTGTACCGAAAGCCAAGAGGTATGATTTCTGAAATCCGAAAGTTGGTTGGACATTTTGCTTCCTATGTTTAAAGGTAATCTGACTTAGCATTCTTATTCTCCAGAACCAATGATGAAGTTGAATGTGAGAACGAATCAAAACCCTTCACCAAGGACGATAAGTTGGTAAGGGAGCTGTTGTCATTGAAGGAGAAGAATGAAGAAATGGAAGGTGAGCTGAAAGAGATGCAGGAGAGGTATTCAGAAATAAGTCTAAAGTTTGCAGAAGTAGAAGGTGAGAGGCAAAAGCTTGTGATGGCAGTAAGAAGCTTGAAACATGCTAGAAAGGAGCTCATTAAACAATCATAATAAAAGGAAATTAAGGGGTTAAGGTTTCTTTCTATACAAGTAATATGGTAACCTATAAAAAAAGTGTATAGTTTTGGGGGGGAATACTAGTAACTGGGGTTTCATTTTAGTTAAACAAAATGTCTAGAGAGGATTTGACTGCTACTACAAGGAGAGTGAATAATTTTTGTACAAAGTTTTCATTGCCAGGGTGGAAAAAAAGGGGTTTCTTAATCTGTTAGTTTATTTTATTTCACTTTGTAGGTATAAGGATGAAAATCATGTAGTGTTCCAAATTCAAGTTCTTTCCTTGTAATTGTAACTTTTTCATTGTCTCCTGGTATGTAAGGTGGATGTTTGCAGCTTGCGATATATAAATTTTATACATATAGTCTTTTCATTCTTTTTCTATGTGACTTGTTTCGATTCAGGTTTTAATTTCTTTTTTCAAACGAGGCCTATAAAATATATTCACTTGGTATGTCTATGGTGACTTTCAAATTACTGTGATTTGGGGAACATGGTCTACTCTTTCGGTCGATCACTTTCCAAAAAAATGGTCTATCACTTCTATCAAATGGTGCACCACTTCAGACAAGCAGTCTATCGCTTTCTACAAGCAATTGACCTGATGGCACACTTACTTTCAACTTACACCCGCTTGTTAATAGTCTACCAATTCCAGGAAACGGTCTACCACTTCCAGAGAACAATCAACCGCTTTCGGCGAACGGCCGACCCAATTACGTAGTTACATTTTACTTACATTAGTAAGATAATGGGCAATAGGAGGTAAACAATACAAGATTGTTTTGTAGTATTGCAACATCCTATCACTAGCGGGTAACCAAATCTCTGTGCAGATTATAGGTCTAGACAAAAAGTAATAACACCATCTTTTAACACTTCTTGAATAAAAACTCATAAAGCAAGATGATATGAGATTTATGTACATTAAAGATGATACAATAGTATAATAATTATACTCTACTTTTAAGTATTTTCATAACAACAATAACAGTTGATCTATCATAAGACAACTGTAGGATAAAAACAAACAAACTTAGAATTTGAAGGAAGATGAAAGTCTCTAAATAAGTCAAACCTAAGAGATAAATATGCTGAATATTTTTCTAATTTACAAGAGAACAATCACCCGAGAAACTTTTCATCGGTGTTTCAACCTTTGTAGTTTGTATTAATTTTAACTCTCTTACCAGCAAACATATCTATTAGTATTGGATTCCTCTAATTATATATCATGATGTCATTACAATGGTTCACCAGGTCGACTGGTTGTTAGAAGCGGTGGACTGGTTGACGGAATAGGTAGACCACTTGATGAAAGTGGTAGACTGATTTTTTGAAATATTGTTGACCGCTTAGTGGAAGAGGCAGACTGTTTTCTCTAAGTCAGACTGACTTACAAGTAACCGTAGCAAAGTTCTCACCTTCGTGTATTTCGAAATAAAAAATTTCACATACTAATGACGTACTCGTATTCAAGTGATATGTCATGTACCACATTAGTACATTAACATTCTCATTTGATTAATTGTAGTTCAGTAAATTTGGTTATTTGGTTTAATTATGTAAGGCTTCTTAGTAGTTTTTTTTTAAGTGGTTGATTTGAGGATAACTCTACTAACTAAGCTAAGCAAATGATCAAATTTCCTTATGGAGAGAAGGGCATCGACACAAAAAATGTCACTTTTAGCATGTACTAGATCATATGTGCCACGCTTCGCTGTGGCAATCGAGTAAGTGTTATGATTGCTAACTCAACAGTCTGTAAGATTCACAATATTTAACTAAAATAAATTTGAGATAGATGAGACTAATTTTCGAAGTGAATCATTGTTTATAAGTAGGAGACTCTTTGAATGATGTTCCAGAATCGAGAAAATGTTAATAATTTGAGAGAGAGATCATTGGCCTTGCCAGAGAGGGTCCAAAATTGAAAAGGTAAGTCCATAATGATAGGACCTTGACTCGAAACAGTAGCTTTTGCTTGTACTGGAATTGGAGGGAGGCTTCCATCTTTGTTATCTCTAAGACCCTTGAAAATTAAGAACCAAAACTAATGTTGCAAAGGAAGGCAAAGACACGTGTCTATCCATGTGCTATACTATTTCCTAAATGCCTCGCGATAGATCGTCAATTCAAATTCGAAGACCTGGTCCAAAATTTGGGTGCTGGTGGAGCTCTATTTCCAAAATTTGAACTTCATGGTCAAATGCCCTGGGAACCATAGCTTTATTTTTTTTTTCATTTGAATCCTTTCGATTATGCTTATCCAGCATATGTTAGAGTTTTTATTTTTATTTTGGGGAAGTGAAGGTGTCGAAGTTTACCCTACGGAATTCGAGGAAATTGAGGACTATGGTCGAGTGGTGGTCGAGGAGAAGACATGTGAGGAGGCGAAATCAAATTCGAGCTTACGCTTTCCACGAGAATTCCGAATTACGATTACTCAGAGAATGTAAAAGGTTATATGTGTCCGTGCATGCTTGAATTTGACAGCTGAAGACCCTATTATGTAGGTATTTTTTAACAGAATTCTATGGGAGGTTACCAGTATTAGAAGTAACATACTAAAATTCAACCATAATTAATTAAACCCTACGACAGATGAAAGACTAAATTAGAAGACTTGTGAGGAGGCGAAATCAAATTCGTGCTTATACTTGCCACGAGAATTCTAAATTGCGATTACTTAGAGAACGAAAAAGGTTGCACGTGCCTGTGCATGCCCGAATTTGACAGTTGAATACACTGTTATGTAGGTTTTTTTAACAAAATCATATGGAAGGTGACCAGTAATGAGAAGTAACATACTAAAATTCAACCATAATTAATTAAACCCCTCACATGATGAAAAACTAAATTGGAATACATGTGAGGAGGCGAAATCAAATTCGAGCTTACACTTGCCACGAGAATTCCGATTTGCGAATATAGAAAATGGAAAAGGTTACACGTGCTTTTGCATGCTCTAATTTGACGGCTGAAGACAATGAGGAATGTTCAGTATTACGTAGGTTTTCTTAACGGAAACATATGAAAGGTGACCAGTAATGAGAATTAAGATACTAAAATTCAACCATAATTAATTAATGGGTTAATATATTTGTATGGCCCGAAATATTCACAATTAAACATCTTGGCCAATCTTTTCTATCTATAACATCGTGGCCTCAACTATGCATCAAAGTGTTTTGCCAAACATGAGATTTGACCGTTATTTTGAACGGTCAAACACGTTGATTAATGGTCAACGCGACATGTCACTGCCAAGTCAACACATACCACTTAAAAATTTGAATTTTTCACCTATTATCATTTATCTTTTATATTTTGAACAAAATAAGAAAAAAAAGAAACACCTGTTTTTATTTTGAAAAAGATAAATGGTAATAAGTGAAAAAACCAAAAAATTTAATTTGTTTGCGCTGACTTGGCAGTGATGTGGCGCGTTAACCGTTAGTCAACGCATTTGACCGTCTAACACAACGGTCAAATATCGAATTTGACCAATTTCATAACTTTGATGCATAGTTGAGGTCGCGATTTTATAGATCCAAAAGATTAATCATGATATTTAATGTGTGAAAAATTCAGATCATATAAATATATTAACCCTTAATTAAACCCCACACAAGATGAAAAACTAAATTGGCAACGAAGTTTCTCATAAGAGGAAAATTTTGTTGAAAACTTGAAATGCATAAGATAAAGGCCGCTCAAGCAGGATAGTAAGACCCAACAAAACAAAAGAAAACAGTTACTGGTTGATTAGCTAATTAAGTTAGATTGTCCAGATTCACTTAATAGTTATATATATAACAAAACAAAAGAAAACATTTACTGGTTGATTAGCTAATTAAGTTAGATAGTCCAGATTCAATTAATAGTTATATATATCCAGTAGATCAGGGAAAAAGACAGTAGTGTGGGATTAGCAAATCCTTAGCCAACAGTAAAATGGGTTTAACTTTATATATCTACAAAACACTATAAGGCAATGTCAATAAACAGCCTTTGCCACGTCATCCATAAGTTACTCAAACGACCGCACAGTTCGGAGGTCCTTTATGGACATTTCCAATCCATCTCTTTCTCGGGCTCTCTCTTCCGCTAGCCTGCCGGAAACCGACTTCCCTCTCTCACCTCTATGAGTTCTCTCTCGCCGCATCTTCCCCATCAATCTCTTCCCCAGCTGCTATCTTCCAATATTCTGGCGGAAAAAGTACTTCTCTATACCTATATGTAGACTTCCCGCCCCATCTTCCTCACTTACACGATTCATGAATTTGAAGTCATCCCAAACCCTTACGCCGCCTCTGCTCACAGCAGCTCCGACGTTCCTTTTCGCATACTGAATCTGAATTAAAAATCCCCCACATTAGGCTGCTCTTTCGATCTTTGTTGTATTTGCTGCCGAAGTTGGTCTGTTTAGCAAGCCCCCAGCAAAAGATCCCAACTCCTCTCCGTTTTGTCGTCTCTCTCCCAACCCGTGTAAGAAGAAAATCCCTCTGCCTCTGCCTCTGTCTCGCTGTCTCCGTCCGTCTCGCACTGCAGTCGACTGACCAAACAATTTCGCCGCCGCCTATTTTGTGCATGATGTAAAGGAGAAGTTGCAGTCGACATCATAAAAACAATCAGGTTGCTAATTCCTATTGAAATTTCAGCGGACATCCAAGTAATCTGTGGGTTAGTGTGTCAGTCACCGTTTAATGCAGTTTCTCACTTCCTTATGGTTTGATGTGTAGACGTTTTATCTGGCTAATTTGGGGTTAATTGTGATCTTTCCGTTGCCACTTGCCAGCCACCGTTGATGGTTCCAGATTGAAGGAAACTAAGTTGAAGGTATGTCCAATCTCTTCGAATAACAAGATTGCAATGACTTGGTCTATAATAGACAGTTTGCTAATGCAAGATATGCCTTGGAATGTTTGAGAACTTAGATATTGATGTTTCTTTCTCTGGGTGTTTGATTGAACTTAGAATGGTTTGAAACTGATACCCTTGCATTTTTATTGCTGGGACATGTCTTTAGCCATTTCCTTCTCAACGTAAATGAAAGGCCCACGCTACTGTTGTTAGGGATTTGTCCATATGCCTTTTTAGAATGCATGCCAATCTTCTTTGCATTTTCTTGCTTTCACTATCTTCCAACGAAATGCTCCAGCTATCAAAATTTGGTTTCTGCCTTCTAATCTATTGTTTGCAATCTTTTTTTTGTTGTATGAGCCAGAATAAAGTTCTTGAGAGGGCATATTACTTATATTGAATTAGTTGTAACTTACAAGCATGATAACGTAATGAATCAAAAGTAGTTTGTGATAAGCAAAGCAGCTTGTGATTCTGTTTTCATTACATTGCTTCTTTT